TAAAAAATATTATATTATTGGTTTTTAATATGGACTGCAAATATAATTTTAAAATAAATATAAAAAGGACATTTTTGAAAGCATTGTATTGTCAAAATATTTAAATAACAGAGCGATTGTTGTATTTTATAATATGCACTTTCATTGATTTTTGGGTCACAGTCTAAGCGAGTCTTGTGTGAAATACCTTCAGAAAAAAAAAAAAACCTATTGTGATGTTGCTCCTCAATTTTATTTGTGAAATTGTTATTTTTAACGGAGACGTAAAGACTAATAAGATATGAATCAAATCTGTTTATATTGATCTAGTGAGTGTGAAGCGTTTGTGAGTGTTTACCGAGCGGATGGTCTGGTCGCTCTGTTTGATGACCTCCTGGATCTGCCGCAGGACGGTGACCTTCATGTGCTCCAGCTCCTGGTGTTGTGTGGTGGCATCTGCGATACATGTCCGGTACGTGGCCTCGGCCTCCTCAGCCTGAGACCAACACAAAATCACAACCTGCTAAACCACTGGACATCTGTTCCTGCAAAACTCTTCCTACGGTGGCATAAGGGAGATGCATTGTGGGAGTGCTGAGTCTGACCTTGTTGCGGGCCTCTTCCTCCAGCCGTTTCTTCTTGTCTACTGTTTTGGTGGTAGAACTGCCGCCCTCCTCCTCGGCCCTGTTAGCTGCCATCCTGGCCTTGTCGTACTCCTCGCAGCGGGTCATGTAGAACTGCTTGGCCCGGCGCAGGTTGGCCTCACACTCCATCTGTGTTCAAACACACAACAACCCTTACAGACCTGCGCTGCTAACGTCTCATATGGTTTAGTGTATGTAGACACATCCCGGCTGGAGTTTTAAAGTGTTCTGGTAGCTCATAAGATGGAGAAATGTAAACGTTACCAGTTTTCTCTTGGCCTTCAGCCACTGTTCCTTGATCTCCTTGCGCTTCTTCTCATGCTCTTGTTTGCGGAGCAGCAGAGGCTGTGGATGAACAACAAAGCACATGATGCTCCACAGCAAAATACTTCATGCTCCAGATTTCAAGATATTAAAACGATGACTGAACAATTAGAACAAAATATAATAATAATAATAATAATGGTAATAATAATAATAATAATAATAATAATAATAATAATAATAATAATAATAATAATAATAATAATAATAATAATAATAATAATAATAATAATAATAATAATAATAATAATAATAATAATAATAATAATAATAATAATACTACATACATGCAGTACAATAGTACATTTAACAGTAACTACTATTACTACTAATAAACATGGATGGTGGCCTGGAAAGAGTTTCACACGGTTAAAACCGCTCAAGCTGGATTTGGATTTGAAGTTTTCTTGGTGTTTTTTCAGAATTTATTTGTTCCTGTTAATCTGAGTAATGCATGACTGGGCCATTGATCAAGTATACACACAATACTACTGAAAAACACAACCTTAAAAAGTCTCATTCATAACATATTTAGCTTTACAAATGTCTTGATCAGAGTTTAAAATTAACTTTATGCCTTGAGAAAATTGACTAGCCATAAATATTTATTACCAGCCATTAAACTTTTTTTTTTTAAATATGTTCTTGATATATTTTCTATATTGAAGAGATATTTAACAGCATTTTACAATATACAATTTGCTGTTATACATATATTAAAACGATGACTGAACAATTAGAACAAAATATAATAATAATAATAATAATGGTAATAATAATAATAATAATAATAATAATAATACTACATACATGCAGTACAATAGTACATTTAACAGTAACTACTATTACTACTAATAAACATGTTGACCTGGGCCCATATTCACAAAACATCTTAAGGCTAAAAGTAGCTCATAACTCGCCGATTTATTAAAAATAATGGGAGTGTCAGTCCTTTTGCTCGAAGAGTATTTCACAAAGCGTTTTAGCACTAAAACTAGCTCCTAAATCTGTGAAACATTAGGAGTAATGAAGAGGACTCCTAAATCACTAAGACCGAACCACAAACTATTCCTAAAATGGCTGTTGCCGGCAATCTGCTTCTGAACGTAAACATTTTAGAAACATTTGATAATGACCTTTTAAAAAGGTATCGCCTTTGGTTTTGGAGGTTATCCGAACTCCAAATTTTCCTTTGATTATATCCTTGTTTCCATTAACCAGTTGGGCAAGAAGTAACAGCTGTTCTTGAGTCCAGTTTGATTTTCTTTTACGTTTGCACAACGTCGTACTATCAGCCATGATTGTTATAGTCTGTTAATTAAAAAGCTGTTTATATCTACTTATTGTTTACGAGATGCAGACGTGTAAGAGGCTGAATTTAGCTGAACATGTACTTGTTTAATAAGTGACACTTAAACTACATTTAAAACATTATTTGAAAATGGCAACATTTTTATTTTAAAATCTTTATCTTTAATATGTCAACATGATACCTCACTCTACAATATTTCTATGATTAAATCACTGACAGAGACCCATCCCCTATCAACCAACCACTGTAGACATAATTAGTAAGCTTGTTGACATCATCATCCTTGTTTTCATTAACCAGTTGGGCAAGAAGTAACAGCTGTTCTTTTTTTACATTTGCATGCATTACTATCAGCCATGATTATTCTACTCTGTTAATGAAAAGCGGTTTATATGCATATCCACTAACTGTTTTTGAGAAGCATACATGTAAGAGGCTGACAAAAAGCTGAACATATACTTGTTTAATTAGTGACACTTAGCCTGCATTTTAAAATCTTTATTTGAATGTGGCAACATTTTTATTTTTTTACCTTTATATATGGCAACATTGTGCTCTACAATATTTCCATGAATAAATCTCTGACAGAGACTATCAGCCAATCACTGTGTGCATAGTTAGTAAGCATGCTGACATCATCCATAGCAACGAGGTCAACCCCGCCCTTACTCTTAGCTTAAGACTTCTGTCTATTCCTTAGTAAAAGTATGTCTCAGCAGCTTTGTGAATAGGTTTTAAGAGAAAACTCTTAGCTAAAAACTTTTACTGCTATTTAGGAGAACTCTTAGTGGTAAGATAAAATGTTTTGTGAATACGGGCCCAGATTAGCACACTAATCTAATTTATTGCTAATGTAGCTTATGGTTAACCTGATAGCTGAAGAGTCATGTTAGAAAGAATGGCAACTGCTTAGCATGTTAACCAATTAGCATGCTAAGCTAACTAGCATAAGCCAACAAACACAGGCACGGTGAATTTCTGAGCTTTTTTCTCCAAAAAAATCTGGTAATTTCATATGAGCCAATTATGGAAAAAAGATTGACAAAATTTGTAAGAGTAGCAGCGAAAAAAAAAAGTTTTAATTTGCTTCAATATGGTGGAGAGTCATGGTTGTAAAATGATAAACAAGACAAAGTCAGAATCTGCATAATCCAATGAACATAATGTCACAAAGAATACAAACAAACTTGTTTTCAAAAGTTATAAACGTTTTTGCAAAAACCCTTATATCTCTGGAATACTAGGTGGCACTGCGTTCAATCTTCTCCGGTACCTTCAGGACATGTTGATGGTGATACCTATCGAATTTTGTGCCAATGTCAAATCGTTCAAAAGATATTGCAATTTATGACAAAATTAAAAATGGCAGCCAATCACTATTCCTGGATTCGCCATGACACAAGCAATCCATAGACAAGATTATGATTTTCTGACAAATTGTTCAATAGTTATAAGCAAACGTGTCTATTTCATATCTCAAGACCTGTAGGTGGTGCCGTTTCCAACTTTAGCATGTAGCCTCAGAACATCGTGTTGATGAAGCAAACAGTTTCGTTTCGATTGATCAAAGTTTGGCCAAAATACAGCCTCTGAACCAATTTTGGGTCAATATCGTTAAAGGGATAGTTCACCCAAAAATGAAAATTCTGTCATTAATTACTCACCCTCATGTCGTTCCAAACCCGTAAGACCTTCGTTCATCTTCAGAGCACAAATTAAGATATTTTTGATTAAATCCGAGAGTTCTCTGAACCTCCCATAGACAGCAAGGATCCTAACACGATCAAAGTCCAGAAAGTAGTAAAGACATCGTTAAAATAATCCATGTGACATCAGGGGTTCAACCGTAATTTTAGGAAGCTACGAGAATACTTATTGTGCGCAAAGAAAACAAAAATAACGACTTTATTCAACAATTCGTCTCCTCCGTGTCACCCTGTAGCGCTATTTTGGACAATATCCACTGAAAGTAAACAGCGAAGGTCTTACAGGTTTGGAACGACATGAGGGCGAGTAATTAATGACTGAATTTTAATTTTGGGGTGAACTATCCCTTTAAGTTCACGACATCATAACTTTTGAACAAAGATGAATATCAAAATTCTGTTCCGTCATTTCTGTGCAGCTTGTCCAAAGATTATCTAAGCCAATTTTCAGAAGAATTGGACAAATTTTGTAAAAATAGAATACTGTCCTTTTCAAAATGGTAGCTACTGTAATGGGCAGAGTCTTAATGTAACCTATTGAACAGAATCAGCAAGAAGAGTGTAATCAGGTGTACTAAGTTTAATTTTTCTACAACAAAGGGTTCAAAAGTTATAACCATTTGAAAAGTGAATTTTTGAACTGCTGGTAGTGCTATAGAATTGGTCAGTTCACTACTACAAGTGTGCCAATTTTAATCATATTCCTTCTTATGGTTCATAGGGTTGCCATAATAATAAAAGGGCAAAAGGTGGACATGTTGGTGCTGTACCATGATGAAGGTCTGGTTCTGCAGGGTGGAGGCCGCCTGATGCATCCCAGAGCTCTGCTCCAGGTCCTGCTCCAGAGCCAGAGAGTAGATGGAGAAGAAGGGCATGTGTGGCTGATGGACACAAAAACAGACGCATGAGGAAGAAAACAAACCAATCCTGAAGACTTCAAAGAATCTGAGTGAGGTTAGTTCTCACCTGTGTGATGGTCTGTTTACAAGTCTGATAGATCCTTTGTAAGCCCTTGGAGAACTCCAGCTCTGTACAAACATTAATTAATAAATATCCATTGCAATTTAAGATGTCAAATATTAAGTAAAAAAAAAAGCAAAAATCAACAAGCAAAATACAAGTAGCAACAGGATGTGGCTTAACCAGTCAGGATTTACAATCAGAACTAAGTTTTATACAGAACTACACACTTTATTTCAGTCTCTTACATAATACTTAAAAACTAATTTTACATCAAACCATCATATCACTGAAGCTACACGTGATCCTACCTAATGCAAGCTTCCTCTCAATGTAGCCGATCATATCCTTGATGTATTTGGAGATGGTTTTAGCGTACGTCAGAGCCGAGTCCACTCCTCCTTCACTGCGCTGCAGGATAATGTCCACCTCTTCAGCGCTCATCGCTGCCAGCATGCATAGGAATATAATTATGTGAGCATAGAGTTTCACTTTAGGAAAAAATACTAGCGATAAAAAAAAAGAATGATTTATTTGTTTGTTTGTTTAGCAGGAGACAAGTTGTGTTAATAACAATAAAAACAAGTAATCAAAATTAATAATCATAAAAATAATAATAATAATAATATTTATTTTTGTATGCATGTATAAGAGATCTTAATGTCCTGCAGAACATATGTAAAATTATAAATAATAATTTCAACAGTATTATTATTATTATTATTATTATAACAATACTACCACTAATAAATATATTTAAAAATAAATCATTTTAAATGTTTAAATACGTTCTGCATTACACTAAGTTTGCATATTTAAACAATAATAATAATAATAATAATAATAATAAATTATTATTATTATATTATTATTATTAATAAAATTGTTAATAAATATTTTATGTATTTTTGTATATTATTATTCATATTTTAAATACATGTTCTGCAGGAGATTTTGTAAAGATCTCATATATAATAAAATATTCATGTATGCATGTATGTATTTGAGATCTTCACAAAATCTCCTGCAGAACATATTTAAAATTATGAATAATTATAATACATTATTATTATTATTATTATTATTAACAACAATACTACTACTACTACTAATAATAATAATACATATTATTGTTAATAATAATAATAATAATAATAAACAACAAAAATTATGCATTTATTATGCATATATGTTCTGCAGGAGATTTTATACAAAGTAATGGATAAATAAATAAATACTATTAGTTCTCTTAATTTCTTAAATGTTCTGCAGAACACTGTTCTCTTATAAATATAAATTTTAAACATGCTCTGCACAAGACTTTTTATTAGAACAACATTGTGATACTATTATAATCAGCTCAATAAATACATAAATAACATTTTTTATTTTTAAACAAATTTTTATATACAAATTATATTGAAGACATAAAATTATATCTTCATCACAAAAACAAAACCCCAACTATATATCATTGCATTCCTACTTGCTTTTCTGTATTTCTGAATTTGTCAAAATGTACCCAGCTCAGATGAATCACTCCATGTGTGTGAAGACTCATGACCCGATAGGTTCTCCATAGACTGAACATTCAAAGAGAACAAACACACACAACTATTTATATCACACATTGTGTCACATATACATCATACACATCAGTCATGCGTGTTCATGTGAGTCTTATTTCAGAGAAGGACGACTGCGTCAGAGCAGTGACTCTAATCACAGAACGCCACTTTCAGGAAGTCAAACCCTGCTGCCAACATCCACTCTGTACAGAGACTGACACACACTCACCCTGCTCTTCTCAGACGGCAGCACTGACAACAGCGTGCTGCTGTCCACCTCTCCCATCAGCAGCTCAGACACACTGACAAAACACACAAACAATAACATCTGAAAAACTCAACTCCAGCAAATGATTAGATGCCAGCTCTTAACTTCCTTAAACACAGTCACATTGCACTGCTGCATGATTTAATGTTTTGGTCACAGGAAATTAATCCAAGACATGAACAAGACCGTTTGAGCAACATTTTGCGCTGCCATTCAAAAAATGTATTGATACGATTATGAAAAGTTGAAGTGACAACAACAGCAATGATAATTATCAGCTCGAACTCAAAAACAGATCCTTGAGGGTTTGGGGCTGTAAGCGTAAGAGAGCAGAAGCCGCAGATCAACTTCCTGTCATTTCTGTCGAGCTACGATTAATGTCAATGATCTAACAGAGCATTTTGAGAGAGATGATTTCATGATGTACACAAAGTATGCTGTATGGCTCTGCAGTCCTGTGAACGCTTAATTTAGACTGGTAAAAATAAAATTAAACAAAATCGATAAACAGAATAAACTAAAACATTTCAAAAGGAACAAAGTGCTTTTTCCCTCTTGAATTAATTGAATAATATAATAAGCACAATCAATAAATCAATCAATAAATAGTTCCATTCATTCAAGGGGAATTTTTTTCCTTTATTTTAATATTTATTTATTTATTTAAATGTATATAAATAAATACATTGCAAAAGAATGTGCCATCTCCCAGAATTAATCTAAAAAGTAAACAAACAAACAAACAAACAAATAAATCTTTCCGTTCATTCAAGGGGAAATTTTTCCTTTGGAAATTACTTATTTTTAAAAAAATATTTATTTATTGATTGATTTAAATGTATATAGATAAATACATTCCAAAATAATGTGCTATTTCCCGGAAGGAATAAATAAATAAATAAATAAATAAATAGATATAAATAATACAATAAAAAAAAAAAATAGTATGCAAGAATGCAAGATTGTTGTCGCATGACCTCACTATCCATTCATCCAGAGTTCATTTGCAAAAACGATAACTCCGTTTTTAAAAATTTTCAAAAATCATGTTTTATCATTGTGCATTCCAATTAATATCAATCAAACTGCAGTTGGGCTATTTTGATTAGATTAAAAAATAACTTAAAATACAGCCAACTAACAAAAACATGGTAACAAAAAACATGATATCTGTTTTTGCAAATAAACTCATTTTCACTGTCCCACAAGATAAAAATGAATTAATTAATATTGTCTTTATTTAAAATGCAGTAAATGGTTAAACATTTTTGTCCTACATGGACCTGTTGTTATAAAAGCTGCAGTGCTATATTTAAATTTTTGAGTCAAATCTCAAACTTGTCCTATGGTGTGACTGTCTCAAGCATGGTTCAATAAATTACAACTTTTATAAATGAAAAAGAAAAACATAAAATGTTAATAAATACCTCCGGCATAATTGTACAAGTGTCCATTTTAGTAAATGGCAATCATTTTCTTCATCCATACATTTCAGAAAACGTAGGAACTGGATACATTTTGTCTGTGAAAACCATGTCCTCTGGTGTGACACCATATCCTGATTTTAAATCGGCCAATTCCAGAGAAAACTTTAATTAGTTGAAGGACCCCATTCATGATCATGTTACTGAAGGCCCCTGTGAAGTCCATGACATGTGCACATGGTCAATTTTTTTTTCAACTTTTTTGGAACCACAATAAAACGTGATACTTTGTTTTTGAGACAGAAAGAATTGAGGGAGAGAAATTACTGGAAGGGGGACACGGGACACGGAAATATAGACAGAAAATTAACAGGGATCCACGCAGAAGGGAGGAGATTATAAGAGAACAATGCAGAAAGTAAATAATCAAAATGATGCCTTTAAAAGAGTAGCCATATAGTTTTAAAAAACTAATTCACATCTTAATGAATATAGTTTGAATATCAATCATATTTAGCTGTGTCACACATGCAGCGGGGGCTAGAAGAGTTTCAGTAACATACTGATTGAATTTAGTTTTTTTTTTTTTTTTTTTAAATACATGTTTATATTGTTTGTATCAAAATTAAACTTTCTTTCCCCTTTGACATGTTCAAAATTAAATAGAAATAATTGAATAACTACCATTTCTGTCCTTTAGTGTGACGTAGTGTCCTATGGTGTGACACATAAAAGAACCACAGATTTGTTTTTATCTCAAAAACACTTGAGTATTGTAATAGGGGGACATACAAATATCACTCAACTTAAAATGGTATAATTTTCAGCAGTTTTGAACGGATGACAGCAATGTTTGTCTTGTGGTCAAAGTTTGTCCTGAAATTGTCCAACAAGTCATGGGGAAAAAAATTGTTAATTATAATTTAATTTTAAATAAATAGCACTATGTGAAAATAAGCGTCTAACAATGAAGATAAATCTCTCTCATGCCATTTATACATTAAGAGTTTTTTTTTTCTAAATTTTTGCTATGTCACACCGTAGGACAAATTTATGGTAGTTCAGTGAAAATGTAAAAAAAAAAAAAAAAAGTGAAAGAATTGAATTTAGTGACCCTTTATATTTTCTCAAAGATCAGACTTCACACTACATATATGCATTTCCAAAAAAAGGTTATAATATAACAATTTTAGTAAATCACCATTGGCAGGTCGATGGTGTATAAATAAATATTTCAAAGAATAAATGCAAAAAAAATTGGGTGAAATTACTTTCATTTTCATTACGTTCTATTTACGTTCATTTATCACATCTGAAATAGAAAATCAAGTAGAGCACACTGCATTGTGGGATACAGTATTCAATAAATACAATATTGCTCTCTGGCTGCATACTGCACATTTTGGTAAATGTACTATTCAATCCAAGTAATCTATTCATACAGCAAAGTGGTGCACAGTATGCATACTGCAAAATAAGCCTGTTTGCATCTCAGAGTAAAAAATAAAGAAAATCATGAGAAAGTTTGCAATTGCAAGAAGCAAAACTTTGAGATTACAGTCACAACTACTTTTTCCCCAGAGCCGCTGATAGCGTGATCCGCTGACGAGCGCTTCATACTCACTTGCTGCTAAAGGCTACAGCGATAGTCTCGATGGCCTTCTCAAAATCTTTCTTGTCTGCTTCATTGCACACTTCATAGTGGTATCCTGAAGTCAAAGACAAAAAAATTGTTAGTAAATTGCTTAAAATGACAGAAACACATTAGTGCTGTAGAACGACTGTAAATGGCTGCTCTAACCTTTGACCTGTGAGATGAGCTTGCCGGCAGCGGTGAGCGTCTCCACCGTGTTGAGGAGAGGGTACATGCTGATGACCTGCCGCAGGATGCGCAGAACTTCCCCCAAACACTCATGGGCCAATGGACGCCGGTTCTCCTGTTTGTCTGCCAAAAACCATAAACAACATTATCATCAGACGCTTAACAGCTGAAAATAAACATCTAGATTACAGCCGCACAAGCTCACAAACTCAAATTAAGACTTCTGATTAAGTATAGTATATATTTATTTAATGCCAAGTCAGCATCAAAGGCTATTTTCATGGCAAAAACAATTTAGAAAATACAAGTATAACAAATACAATAAAAACCAGCAAACAAACAAAGACAAGTTATATAACACAAGATTTTTTACATTAACAATTTTAAAACTTTTCCTGCCAAAAGTTTACTAAATAACTCTTTGAAAGGAGACATATTATGCCCCTTTTTACAACATGTAATATAAGTCTCTGGTGTCCCCAGAATGTGTCTGTGAAGTTTCAGCTCAAAATACTCCACAGATCATTTATTATATAGGAATTTTGAAAATGCTTATTTTGAGTGGAAGCAGAAACACACTGTTTTTCGTGCCTCTCTCTTTAAATGCAAATGAGCTGTTGCTCCCCGCCCTCTTTTCCAGAATAGAGCTGCGCCATTTAGTGATGGGAAGTTCGGATCATTTTACCGACTCGGACCTTTGAGTCTCGTTCAGCAAAATTTCAGAAAGCGGCTGTCACAGCATGTGAGAACTACACTCTAAAGTTCTCATTCACACACAAGTTTATGTTAAAAACACACGAGTTATAGCTGGACAGTCCAATAAAATATGTTTAGACTTCTGATTAAACTTGGATTTTTGTGTCAAATGATAACTCTTCACACCGTGTTATCAAATAAGCAAAACTATAATTGAATATCTGGGTCATATTTCATCAAGAAGAAAGAAAGAAAGAGAAAGAAAAATAAAGAAAGAAAGAAAGAAAGAAATAAAGAGAGAGAAAGAAAAAGAAAGAAAGAAAGAGAGAAAGAAAGAAAGAGAAAGAGAGCGAAAGAAAAGAAAAAGAAAAGAGAAAGAAAAGAAAGAGAGAGAAAGAAAGAGAAAGAAAAAGAAAGAAAGAAAGAAAGAAAGAAAGAGAGAGAGAGAAAGAAAAAGAAAGAAAGAAAGAGAGAAAGAAAGAAAGAAAGAGAAAGAGCGAAAGAAAAGAAAAAGAAAAGAGAAAGAAAAGAGAGAGAAAGAAAGAGAAAGAAAAAGAAAAAAAGAGAAAGAGAAAGATTAATGAAACAATTAAAATAAAATAAATGAAATAAATTAAGAAAAATTAAACATCTTTCAGATTTCACCCCATTTGAAAATAAATGCCACAACGTAAAAACAAAAATAACAAAACAAAATAAAATAAATACAAATTATGAGAAACAAAATCTGGGTCATATTTCAACCCATAAGAAAATAAATGCCAAAACTAAATAAATAAAATACCTTGGTCATATTTCACCCTACATGATGCAAAAAATTATAAATAAATAAATAGAGTTAATTATGTTCATTTGTTCAGTCTTGTTCAATAAATAAACAATTATACAAAAAAAACAACATAAAATAAACTAACAAATAATTAAAAGTTTTCACTTTATCATCTCTCGACATTTTTCTTCTAGTTATAGGGCACAATATGACCTGGATATTTCTTTGTGAACCCAGTAACCCTTTAACCGACATGTCAGTGTCTGTCATGCTGAGAAATATCTGCAGTGATCCTAAAAGAGTCGAGACACTGTGTTGCAGTGCTTTCTCGTCTGCTGTGACACGTCTACAAGCCACTTCCTCCTGTCTTAACTGTAACTCGAAGCAAAAAACACCCACAACTGTTACTTGTTTAGTTTCTCTTTGTCTGTTGAAACTACCCGACTTATACAGTAATGGGAAGCATGAACAACTGGCTTTTTTTCCCCCAATCAGATAAAGTAGGCTATTTGTGTTCAATAAAATAAAATAAAAAGTGGAGGAAATTGTGGCATGAGTCAACCACCAAAACCAAAGCCATATATTTGAAATATGGTAAAATGACTAAAAGATGTATACTAAATTTATTACTATTATTATTATTAGTAGTAGTAGTATTAATTAATTAACTTTTTTATTTTTTGGACAACTACCAAGTATCATAGTAATCATTTACTACCATAATATAGAAGTTTTCAAAATTCATAGGAACATTAATAGAAATACATATTTAAATAATTTCTATAAAATATGATGAAGTATACAATATAAAATTCCTTGCAACAACAAATTTCAAGAATAGTGCCTTTGTTGCCTTTTTTAGGGGATTTTTTTGGTTTGGATGAATTGAGAAAAGATCTATACAAATAAATGTTGCATTAATATTAAATTAAAATTATTTCTCTTCAGATTTAACTGATCTAACTGAAAATGATCAACTTAATGCGCACTAAATATTTTCCAAAATATATATACACCATGGTTTTACCATCACTGTATCACGGAACCATCACAGTGCTTTTTTATAAGGATCCTCTTGTGGAAAAGATCGTTTTTTCGGATATAATAACTGATTTTGTTATTTATGGGTAGGACTACATACTTGATGCTGAATGACGTTGCTCTACGAGTCCTGAGAGCAGTAGGGGGTGTTTTCTGAGAGAACCATTTCCTGCGCCAGTGTGGTGCACCACAGGAACTCAACCTCACTGCAGATAAGGGAAGATCAGGGCCTCTTGGGCAAACTCAGCCCCGCCCCTTCTCTGCTCCGCGATCACATGATCCTCAGCGGAAGGTGATGTTTGCGGCAGGACGTGCAAATAGTCATGTGGCAGACAAGTATTGAGCACTGTTGTGAGTTTCTAACGTGAAAATAAGTACCAGGAAACGTTTCGGAAACATTTCATCCATGTCAACTACACTGTAAAAAACGTTATTGTAATTATAACGGTAAACGACTAAAAATGCCATGTTAAAAACTTGTTAATTGGTTAACGGTAATTTCTTACTACCGGTATATAAGGTGAAAAACGAATAAATCTAACGGCACTTTATGTAACTTTACAGTAAAATACAGACATTCCCAAAATTCTCTTTCAAATAGTGTGATTTAAAATAATCTGCATAACTTCGTGATTTCGATTTTTTTTTTTTTAGTGTCATTTGTTACAAAGTTTTTATATTTTTCCCCTCCCATTTTCATTTGTTCATTTTAGTAATTTTTCTGTGTTTATAATTTTTAATCATTATTAATTTTGTTGTAATTTTTTAATGCGTCTACGGTTTTCATTGAGTTCAATAATTTATATAATAATTAATAAACATTTTTAAATAAGTTTTAAATACAGTTTTGAATAAGTTTTAAGATTTTATTTTATTATTAGTTAACATTTATTTCATCTGGTTTTACTTTCACATTTGTTAACCTTGTTTGTGATGAAGTTTTAATTTTTACTAACATTGTTTTTGTTTTTTTGGTTGTAAGTATATTGTAAATGTACAAAACACTTTTAGGTATATTATTGTACACTTTGGTACGCTAACATTATATTAGTTAATGAAATGTTTTACTGTACATTTAAGTTCAATTCGTAAAACCTAAAATGTTTCTACCATTTTTTTACGTTAAAATTCTGGCAACCACAGCTGCTGGTTTTTACCAAAAGTAAAAAAAAAATTCAGATTTTTTTAGTTTTTCTCCAAGAAAACCATTATCTTACCTTCAAGCACAACATCTTTCAGTTTCTCCACCGCTTTGGCAAACCGCTCCACTATGCGCAACAACGACGGGATGTCTTCCACCTCGATAGCCACTGTAGTCTCGGGCGTCTCCGGCGAGGGACTCTGCGCGATGACGGATTTTCCTGCACCCTTACTGAAGACCCAAGACTGTATCGGGAAGCCCGCGGCGCTTTGATTACGACTCAGGGAAGTCGGCCGCTTTAGGGTGCCCATTGGGGACGGGCTGCCAACCAGCTTAGTGTGCTGGACCAAAGGGGTACCTGGACAGGAAGACGGGACTTCTAGGACAGGGGGAGACAGATTGGAGGAAGTATGGGACGAAGAGGTGACGGCATCGACTGCATCTTTCCGAGGCTGTTCTTGAAGAGCAGAGAGCTGTTTGATAAAGAAGAAAACAAGGATATAGTGTGGGCAAACTGATAAACACGACAAGTTTTAAGGTAGAAAGTTTTGTGGATCGAGCACAAGATGTGTGCCCGACTACAATAGAAGGCTGTTAGTAAACAGAACTTCTTTCACAAGAGCAATTGTGTAATCGTGGCCTACTTCCTGTCACACCCCGAAGAGCTGATGCCACACTGACTGGCCTTGCTGAGGCCTAAAAACACTCCCATGCGAGTAAACATGAATATAAAGCAAAGTTACCGAAAATCCCATAAATTATGACTAATTTCTGCCTCATTTTAGTCAACAAATGACTGAACAAATGGTGAAATATGATACGCAAATCTGTAAGTGTTAACAGGGTGATATCTCAAAATCCAGGTCACTTTTAAAGAAGATTCATTTAAAAAGAATATATATATTTTTTTTTACTTTTTTCCTCTCTCTCATATATATATATATATATATATATAAAAATAACTTTTTCCCTATATATTATTTTTACATATAATTAATTTAAATAAAAATTATGAAAACTAAATTGACAACTCTTCATAATACTTGGAATATTACAATAATATTTCAATAAGACATTTTAAAGTTTAAATATATACATTTAACGTTTTGCAGTTCACTTTGATCTAATACATTTTTAGAAGAACAAATATTTCTTGTAGACTTTCAATATGAGGTCCTAAGATAACGTGTATAATAGTTTTACAACTGGTTACACCACTTGACAAAAACGGTAAATGCTTATCAGTACACATATCATACACAAATGCATATTTTAAACAGTAAGATACAAATATTTACTACTTAAAATAGGTATATTGACAAAAAAGTACTTTTTAAATACAACCCACCTGTTTGAGCCAGACGTTGGGTCTATTTGGTAAGATGTCCAATTTAGTTTTGCCGTTTGATTTTTTCACTCTCTGACTAGTCGCGTAAGGACTGTAGCTTTTGCTACTTGATCCACCACGCTTCAACATTTCCAGCTACTGAGCTACTTGTACTTTACTGAAGCAACGTTGGACACTGTTAGCCATCATATCTCATCCTTTTCATTTAATACATGCAACTGAACCTTAAAAAGCGCCTGAAAGTAAATAATTAAGTCCTGAAACCAGGAGAAAAATATTCAAAGTAAGGCAAAACATCAACTTCTTGCCCCTTGCTACGCCATATCACACTGTGGAAGTTTAGTCCGTCCTTTTCTTAATATTATTGTTTTTTTTTTACATAACGGTCTAAATCATCTTGAATTCTACTTTGTGTTTGGAAACACTGATAACATTCGTGAATTTTTCAGCAACGTCGAAAACCAGGCGCAAACATGAGCGCGAGAGTGAAATGTCACTCAAGTTGATTGGCAGGAGGAAAAGGCGAGAGATGCTGTGAGACTTACTGATGGAGAGTTGAGAGGCGATGGGCTGCTTCCTGTTCGGCTCTTCTTTGACATCGAGTGCGTCTTTATCAGTTCCCTTGTCCTTTTAGAGAACATTTTAAGCTTTAGGTGTTTCTTTCCGGCGCGTATTTCTTTTAATTTACGATATAACCCCCCAGCCCACCCCCCGGCTCCCCATTTCAAAGCGCTGATACGAGGTTTCCACACTCGAAACCAGGAGAAAAATATTCAAAGTAAGGCAAAACATCAACTTCTTGCCCCTTGCTACGCCATATCACACTGAGGAAGTTTAGTCCGTCCTTTTCTTAATATTATTGTTTTTTTTTACATAACGGTCTAAAAAAATCATCTTGAATTCTACTTTGTGTTTGGAAACACTGATAACATTCGTGAATTTGTCAGCAACGTCGAAAACCAGGCGCAAACATGAGCGCGAGAGTGAAATGTCACTCAAGTTGATTGGCAGGAGGAAAAGGCGAGAGATGCTGTGAGACTTACTGATGGAGAGTTGAGAGGCGATGGGCTGCTTCCTGTTCGGCTCTTCTTTGACATCGAGTGCGTCTTTATCAGTTCCCTTGTCCTTTTAGAGAACATTTTAAGCTTTAGGTGTTTCTTTCCGGCGCGTATTTCTTTTAATTTACGATATAACCCCCCAGCCCACCCCCCGGCTCCCCATTTCAAAGCGCTGATACGAGGTTTCCACACTCCGAGCTCGAGCTTGTGTCTCACACCTCTAATATGATCGCACATTGACTGAATCTACCGACACTCATCAGAGCAGTCTGAGGCGCATCCGCTTTCTCTCTCTCGCTGTGACTGTGACAAGTGAAACTGCGCTGCCATGTAGAAACATGAGGGCTGGATAACATCATGCATGCTCGCTGAGACTTTTAAAACGACGTTTATGCATTGAGTTACATCATTTTACGACAAAAATAGGCTTTGGCCCCACACGTTGTTGTTAATGTGTGTCACCTGCTGTTTAATTAAATATTAAAACACCGCCCACTTTCGTGACAAAACATGTCTTGAAATCTTTTTGTTTGACAAAACATCATTTTAACTACACTTTTATTTTATTTACAGAATAGGCCTATCTGTGCTAAAGCAATATTGTATCGGTCTTGAAATACCTGAGCATAGCAGTCTTATGCAAAAAAATACAAGAAAACCAATCGCAAAATGCAATGACATCTTCACCATTGGTTAGATTTGGAATTGTGACAATTTCAACTTTTCAATTTTTTAACTGTAAAACACACACACACACACACACACACACACAAATAAAGGTGCTTAAAAGGTTCTTCACAGCGATGGCATAGAAGAACCATTTTTGGTTCCACAAAGAACCATTCAGTCAAAGGTTCTTTAAAGAACCATCTCTATCTTACCTTTATATAATCTGAAGAACCTTCTTGTGCTTAAAAGGTTCTTCACAGCAATGGCATAGAAGAACCATTTTTGGTTCCACAAAGAACCATTCAGTCAAAGGTTCTTTAAAGAACCATCTCTATCTTACCTTTATATAATCTGAAGAACCTTCTTTTGCCACAAAGAACCTTTTGTGAAACAGAAAGGTTCTTCAGATCTTAAAGGTTCTTTATGGAACCATTTAAACAAAAAAGGTTGTTCTATGGCATCGTGAAGCACCTTTATTTTCAAGAGTATATATATGAAATTTCCTAGGAGTGCGTCTCAATCTGCTCCCTTGCACCCTAGGTAGTGAGTCTGTATATCATGTACACAAATTCAGGCACTGGTAAGGCCAGCATTCAATATGCAAATAAATACAAGAAAACAGACCAATGGCAAAAATGCAATGACATAATCAGCATTTGTGATTTGGAATGGCGACAATTCTAACGTCAAATTTTTAACTTGACATGTCTGTATTTAGGAAATTCCAGAGGAGTGTGTCTCAGTCTGCTCTCTAGCATCCTAGGTAGTGACTCAGTATATCGTGTACACAAATTTGGCCACTAGTAAGCCCACTGTGTGATTTATGTTTTGCACTTCAGAAAATGTGACATTTTCCAATAAGAGAACATAGCAAGCATAGATTCTTCCTGGTTTTGGGGATTAGTTTTTTTTTTTTTTAGGGAAAGAACATTCCAGTTCCCTAAAAAAGGACTTTGTTTGAGA